TTTGAGGTTGACCGAAACTCTAAATTAGATTCTTTAAACAGGGAATTTGTTGGTTCATGGCTCTTTTGAAGTATAAATACTGTATTTGTTTTGTATCTCCTCAGACTTCCACACAGTAACACACGAGCAGAATGAGCTAAGCTATTAAAGGAAGCTGGGTTAGAAAAGCCTTAATTGACCTTGAAAATGTTTGCTTATTTTTAATTTATATGTGATTTCCAGCACAATTTATTATCTGTTATCACTGCCAGACTTGTAATTTTAGTCAAAATCAGGGAGCATTTGTTAAAATCAAACCAATTTAAATGTTGTTATTCGTTATTTAAAATCGTTGTGACAACTAAATAAATTTTTGCCAAGGTATCAAGGTATGTTGCACATACAAGGAATTTGACATGACGGGTGGTGCATCACATTAAACAATCAACAATCATCAACACAGGGCCAAAAGTAGAAACATGTTAAAATTTACAGTAAAATATAAAATAAAGTGAAATATATAATAAAGTGCACAAACAAACAGATAACAGGATTATAAACAAGTGAGATGTAAGTGTAATGTAAAGTGTCGAGTGTATTTAACTAAGAAACATAGAGGGGATGTGCAGGGGAGTGATTAGTAGGAAAGTGTCCTGGGGATGACAGAGTCAGTGGGGGTCCCGGGCTTTGTTGATGAGCCCAACTGCAGAAGGGAAGAACCTGTTCATGTGTCGTGAGGTCTTGGTCCTGATGGACCGCAGCCTCCTGACAGATGGAAGGAGCTCGAACAGTTTGTGTCCAGGGTGAGAGGGGTCGGCTACAATCTCTCTTGCTCGCTTCAGGGTCCTTGAAGCGAGCAAGTCCTGGAGGGACGGCAGATTGCAGCCAATCACCCTCTCAGCAGAGCGGATGATGCGCTGCAGTCTGCCCTTGTCCTTGGCTGTGGCTGCAGCGTACCAGACTGATGGAGGAGCAGAGGATGGACTCAATGATGGCTGTGTAGAAGTGCACCATCATTGTCTTTGGCAGGTTGCATTTCTTCAGCTGCCTCAGGAAGTACATCCTCTGCTGAGCCTTCTTGGTGATGGAGCTGATGTTCAGCTCCCACTTGAGGTCCTGGGTTATGATGGAGCCCAGGAAGAGGAAGGACTCCACAGCGTCGACAGGGGAGTCACACAGGGTGATAGGGGAGAGGTGGGGCTACGTTCTTCCTGAAATACACGACCATCTCCACTGTCTTTAGAGCGTTGAGCTCTAAGTTGTTCAGACCGCACCAGGTCACCAGATGGTCAGTTTCCCACCTGTAGGCGGACTCATCCCCACCAGAGATGAGTCCAATGAGGGTGGTGTCATTTGCAAACTGCAGGAGCTTGACGGACTGGTGACTGGAGGTGCAGCTGTTTGTGTACAGGGAGAAGAGCAGAGGGGAAAGAACGCAGCCTTGGGGGGAACCGGTGCTGATGGTCCGGGAGGCTGAGACGTGTTTTCCCAGCTTCACGTGCTGCTTCCTGTCAGACAGGCAGTCTGTTATACCCCCACTGGATATTCATTATTTTCTACTGCAGGAGTCTACTGCAGGCATGGAGGCAGAGAGCATTTTTAAACCATCCATCCATCCATCCATTTTCCACCACTTATCCGGGGTCGGGTCGCGGTGGCAGCAGGTCAAGCAGGCCGACCCAGACCTCCCTCTCACCGGCAACATGTTCCAGCTCATTCTGGGGGATCCCGAGGCGTTCCCAGGCCAGCTGGGAGATGTAATCTCTCCAGCGTGTTCTGGGTCTTCCCCGGGGTCTCTTCCCAGTTGGACGTGCCTGGAAAACCTCCAGTGGGAGGCGTCCAGGAGGCATCCTAATTAGATGCCCGAACCACCTCAGCTGACTCCTTTCGACGCAAAGGAGTAGCGGCTCTACTCCAAGCTCCCTCCTGATGACCGAGCTCCTTACCCTATCTCTAAGGCTGAGCCCGGCCACCCTACGGAGGAAACTCATTTCGGCCGCTTGTAGCCGCGACCTTGTCCTTTCGGTCACGACCCAGAGTTCGTGACCATAGGTGAGGGTAGGAACGTAGACCGAGTGGTAAATTGAGAGCTTTGCCTTCCGGCTCAGCTCCCTCTTCACCAAGACGGTCCGGTGCAGCGCCTGCTTTACTGCTGCAGCTGCACCGATCCGTCTGTCGATCTCCCGCTCCATCTTACCCTCACTCGTGAACAAGACCCCGAGATACTTAAACTCCTTCGCTTGAGGTAGGCACTCCGTCCCCACCTGGAGGGAGCAATCCACCGGTTTCCGGCAGAGCACCATGGCCTCAGATTTGGAGGTGCTAACTCTCATCTCCGCCGCTTCACACTCGGCTGCAAACCGCCCCAGTGAATGCTGGAGGTCATGATCCGAGGAGGCTAACAGGACCACATCATCTGCAAATAGCAGAGAAGCGATCCCGAGACCCCCGAGACTGACGTTCTCCGCCCCCAGGCTGCGCCTAGATATCCTGTCCATGAAAGTCACGAACAGGACCGGTGACAAAGGGCAGCCCTGGCGGAGGCCAACACCCACCGGGAACGTGTCTGACTTATTGCCGAGAATGCGGACACAGCTCCTACTGCAGTCGTACAGAGACCAGATCGCCCGTTGTAACGGGTCCGGCACCCCATACTCCCGCAGCACCCCCCACAAGACCCCCCGAGGGACCCGGTCGAAAGCCTTCTCCAAGTCCACAAAGCACATGTAGACTGGTTGGGCAAACTCCCAGAACCCCTCCAGTAGTCTTGCGAGGGTAAAGAGCTGGTCCACTGTTCCACGGCCGGGACGGAATCCGCATTGCTCCTCTTGAATCTGAGGTTCGACAAGCGGTCGGAGCCTCCTTTCTAGCACCCTGGCATAAGCCTTCCCCGGGAGGCTGAGTAGTGTGATACCCCGGTAATTCGAGCACACTCTCCGGTCCCCCTTTTTGAAGATGGGAACCACCACCCCGGTCTGCCATTCCATGGGCACTGATCCCGACCCCCATGCGACATTGAAGAGGCGTGTCAGCCAGGACAGCCCAACCATGTCCAGCGCCTTCAGCATGTCAGGGCGGATCTCATCCACCCCCGGCACCTTGCCACCAAGGAGCTTTTTGACTACCTCAGCGACCTCTGCCAGGGATATGGGTGAGCCTCCCCCTAGGTACTCAGTCGCTGCCTCCTCTGCAGAGGACATGTTGGTCGGGTTTAGGAGTTCCTCAAAGTGCTCTTTCCACCACCCGACGATGTCCTCCGTCCGGGTTAGCAGTTCCCCCCCCCTGCTGAGAACAGCCTGGGGTAAGTCCTGCTTTCCCTTCCTGAGCCGTCGGATGGTTTGCCAGAACCTCCTTGAGGCCAACCGAAAGTCCTTCTCCATGGCCTCCCCGAACTCCTCCCATGCCCGAGTTTTAGCATTCGCGACCACCGCAGCTGCAGCCCTTCTGGCCTGCCGGTACCTGTCAGCTCCTTCAGGAGACCCCTGGGCCAACCAGGCCTTGAAGGTCTCCTTCTTCAGCTTGACGGCTTCCCTCACCTCCGGTGTCCACCACCGGGTTCTCGGGTTGCCGCCACGACAGGCACCGATGACCTTCCGGCCACAGCTCCTAGCGGCCGCGTCCACAATAGAGGCTTTGAACATGGTCCACTCGGATTCCGTGTCCCCAACCTCCCTCAGGATGTGTGAGAAGTTCTTCTGGAGGTGGGAGTTAAAGACCTCCCGGACAGGGTCCTCCGTCAGACGTTCCCAGTTCACCCTCACTACACGTTTGGGTTTGCCGGGTCTTTCCAACCGGTTCCCCTGCCATCTGATCCAACTCACCACCAGGTGGTGATCAGTTGACAGCTCTGCTCCTCTCTTCACCCGAGTGTCCAAGACATACGGCCGCAGATCAAATGATACGATTACAAAGTCGATCATTGATCTCCGGCCTAAGGTGTTCTGGTACCAGGTACACTTATGAGCCACCTTATGTTCGAACATAGTGTTCGTTATGGCCAAACCGTGGCAAGCACAGAAGTCCAATAACGAAACACCATTCGGGTTCAGATCGGGCAAGCCGTTCCTCCCAATCACCCCCTGCCAGGTTTGTCCGTCATCGCCCACGTGAGCGTTGAAGTCCCCCAGGAGAACTATGGAGTCGGTAGGCGGCGCCCTTTCCAGGACCCCTCCCACCGACTCCAAGAAGGCCGGACACTCTGAACTGCTGTTTGGTGCGTAAGCACAAACCACAGTCAGAGCCTTGCTCCCCGCAACCCGTAGGCGCATGGAGGCGACCCTCTCGCTCTCCGGGGAGAACTCCAACACAGCGGCGCTCAGCCGGGGGCTCGTGAGTATCCCCACTCCCGCCCGGCGCCTCTCACCCTGGGCAACTCCGGAAAAGGACAAAGTCCAACCCCTCTCCAGGAGCTTGGTTCCAGAGCCAGCGCTGTGTGTGGAGGTGAGTCCAACTATTTCTAGCTGGTATCGCTCCACCTCCTGCACCAGCTCCGGCTCTTTCCCCGCTAGCGAGGTGACGTTCCAAGTCCCTAGATACTGTTCTCCTAAGACTTAGCAATAAGCCTACATCAAAGCATTTTAGTATAAACTTGAGTTTGAGCAGTTTGATCACATGGCAGTTCAAACATTACAATTGTTAGAAAACGGTGACAGAAATATGAACCAAATTAGGGAATAATCTCCATAGGCATAAGAGAGTGACACAGTTTCAACAGGAAATGCAGAAATTGCTTCTTCTTTCAGTAAAAAGAGTAAAACAGAGTCTGCCACACTGACACTCCAAATACAGTTACTTTAGGGAGGGACAGCTCCAGCATGGAGTATTTCTCAGGCAGTTGATATCTGATAAAAAAATAAGCAGCTCAAAAATGATGTGTTGTAGATTGTGTCCTTGCATCTGCATGTCTGAAACTGTTATTACTGCTCGTGCATGTAGGCGGAGCTTATTGGCTCCATTCCCCGATCTGCCCAATGAGCTTAGGCGCTGCCGTGACGCGTTCAGTCGTCTGTGTTGGGCTGATGACGTGTAGCTCACCTGCTAGCAGCAGCAGCTAGCTTGTCAGACGAGACAGGAACGTTATGAGCGAGTTCATATCGACTGTCACAACGAAAGCTATTCACTGAGTGTAGACAGAAAAAAAAGCGAACGTACAGCCATTGAGAATTTGAAAACGCTACGGACTGATACTTTATCGAAGTTAATATGGTAAGAGAAAGGCGACTTCAGTGAACGAGCAAGCTAACGTCAGCTAGCATCGCCCTGTGGTGGTAACGTTAGCTGTCATTGTTATGGCTAGGAGAGCTAGCTGGCTATCTATCTGTCAAAGCATAGGCTGTCAGTGCGTTAGTGCATCTCCCAGTGGGATGGACACTGACACGAGACAACACACATAGCTTGACTTTGCAGCAATCTGTGACCTAACGTGTCCACACATCAGCAATGCTAGAAGGTTGAGCTAGTTAGGATGCATTGTAGCTCAGCACGGAAACAAATGAATATACAAACTCAACATCTCTCCAATGCAATCATTTCTGATGAATTGCATTCTGATTCCATGATTATATTTCACGAGCCCCATGGAAAGCATATACTAAACTCATTCATCTGTTGCAGTTAGCATTACCTAACACCTACATTCAGAAGGTTGACAGCTGCTTTAAGTAATACATTTATCAGCCAAATATTGGATAAGTGAGAGAAACATTGAGTCTACACTGACTGTATCATGTATCCATGAGTAAAAGAGAGATGCATTGCTAGAAGTGGCCTATAGAGTAGACAGACTGAACAACCACAACCAAAATGTTTCAGCCTTTGTCTCTCATTAAGATGCCAAAAAACCTGAATATTATGAGCAAAAATATCTTGTTTGTTGGTCTCAGCAGCCGCTGTTATCGATCTTTGCATTTTGATAACTGCCTCTTTTCTGTGTCCAGCAGTAGCAGGATGGAGTCACCAGTACAAACTTGTTTTGAGTGGTGCTGCATCAGGACGCGACTTTGTTTCAAAGCTCGGAACAAGGAGCCATAAACTCCATGCGTCGTGGGAAGTCACTTAGTCTACAGAAACTGCAAATTGCACTCAGAAAGACACACTGAAAGGACAGACATGTTTGCCAAGTTGAAGAAGAAGATCGCAGAGGAGGCGGCCATAGCACCTCGGAGTGGTGTTCGTATACCGCGCACCATCAGCAGGGAATCTATCATCTCGGTGGGGGCAGACTCGGGAGATGACTTTGTAAGTACATCGTGAAACCATCACCAATGCACAAATAAACCATTGTTTGCATTACAGCATTGGTGTTGTTTTACTACGCAGTCTAAAACTTAAAAGTCTAAAGTGACACACATTTGTAGCCCAACCAACAGTGGGAAAGAGGGACAACCTTTCTGAATTGAGAAAGCAGGAAAATCCATAAAAATCCATATTTGTAGGTCTTTTTGAAAGTAGTCGAGTAATTAACTATTAAATATAAATTTGAAAATAAGCAAGTAATGTGTATACAGTACTTGTTCTTGACTTGAGAACAAATGAAATGCCATCGAGATTTTTCAATCTGATCTAGTTCTGGAAAGTCACAGAAAAGCTGATGAAGTTGAGGTCAGTGCTGTGGTAGGAACCCTGGTTTGCTTTTGAAGGAGTCACCAGTCAGGCGGTGCTAGGTGACATGGCTTGGGTGTGACTGACGTTGTATTGTGTTGATTGTATGTAGGCAGGATACTGTCGTCTTCAGACCAACCAGTCCAACATGAAGCGCTGTTCATTCATTTCTCTTGTCACACTCTCACGGCTCATCTGTTTGTTTCTTCTTTTTGTTCCTGACCTGCTCATTTGACCCGTTTTAGTTTTTGCAGTGATATTTCTAGGATGTTGTCTATCTATTCCCATTTGGTTCATAAAGGAAATCCATATCTGTTGTAAAGCTCTGTTCTTTGGAGCAGGGTTGGAGCCACTCTCCTGAGGCTGTAGTCCCGTCTCAGTTGCACCCGGCTAAATTATTTAGTGAAGTCACTGAGTAGCAATACTGCCAGCTACCATGTGACATTGTGTTCCTGATACAAAGAATACTAAAGCCGCTTCTACACATAGTTCCCGAAAAATAACTTTGATAACCTTACAGGCACCACTAGTGATTTTCACTGTCACACGTGCACCATATTCAGTCATATTTCCATCTCGCACCTTTTCACACATTCCATATTCATTTCAATGTCACTTATGTTTTTTTGACAACTGAAGCCAATGCTTAAGTGCCTTTAACCTGCATTCTCTCTGGTGTCCACCAGGGGGCGACTCCTCTGGTTGTATAGAAGTCTATGAGAAAATGACTCTACTTCTCTCTTGATTTATTACCTCAGTAAACATGAGTTTATGGTCTCAATCTCTAGTTTCAAGTCTTCTTCAATACAGCATGATGTTCATTTAGTACATTATGGTCCATTTAGAGTCACACAGACCATAAAGCAGGGGATGCTTTAGGGCAGGGCTACATGGTGATTGACAGGTCGCTGCTGCTACCAGAGCTGTATCCAGCGTCTCTACATCACTCCTCCTCAGTCCAGATATGGTCACTTTCGTTCACTGGTTGAGAAAAAAACCAAGATGGTGACGGCCGAATTGCTGAACTCGAGGCTATAAAACATCAGTCCACAAACCAATGGGTGACGTCACAATGACTAGTCCACTTCTTTTGTACAGTTTATGGGTTTACTGGCTGCCATCTGTTTTCAAGGATGGTGAAGTCATGAGACGCCCCTCTCTGCCTCTGCTTGGCTAGACCTCGTTGTCTTCGTTGGTTGGGTTGGCTAGGATTAGGCATGAGGAGGTTTGGGTTAGGGTAAGAATAGAAAGGATTGACGAGTCACTAGATCTGAAACCAGCCAGTTAATAGTTAAGAGAGCAATGCTACCTGCACTGAAAATAACAAGTTACCACTGAAATGCTTTGAACACACTTGATGATTTCTGACTGTGAGAGAGGAACTTCAGAAGGATATATGCACTAAATGCCCCACTACGAACAGGATGAATGTTAAGTCCTACCTAATGGTGTGTGTGTGTGTGTGTGTGTGTGTGTGTGTGTGTGTGTGTGTGTG